GATCTTGCAGTTCAAATGGCTTTGCAGTCTCGCACATTAACCCACAGCACCACACCAGGACTCCCCAAGACATATACTCTTTCTATATATAATATGTATATATGAGTATATACAATTAGGTGATTAGGTAATGTGGTGGTGGGTGTGGCTATAGGAACTGTCTATATTCTCTGCACATATATATTTATGGAGTCCTGGTGTAGCACTATGGGATAAAGTACTGGATGCCAAAGTTAGTTTGAACCACAAGGTCAGCAGTTCAAACTCACCAGCCACTCCTTGGAAACCCTATACAGGATCACAATGAGTCAGAAGTGACTCAATGGCACTTAACAACACCAACATATACACACACACATACATGTGTTTACTTTTTTTCCTTATAAATTTCATTTTGGCATAATTAGCTACTAGCAGGTATTATACCATTCAACCTGATCATTCATACAAGAATAAAATTCCACCCAAACATGTTCTGTATTGCAGTAAGTTATAGGTCAGGGTAAGTTCCTACTAAAATTAGTTTCATGATCAACTCAGCATCATTTTTCACATGAGCATGAAGTCTTGCTCAATCAAAAACTTTCTGTTTTTACAGACTGTAAACTATGAAGTTTTGGTGTGTTACTGTAGGATAAGCACTTGACTGCTAAACAAACCTACCAGCCAAACCTCAAAAACTCTATATAGGGTTGCAATGAATTGGAACCAACTTATGGCATTTAACAGCTACAACAACAAAGTATGGCTCACTGAGATTTGATTTCATTTTAAAGTCATTGTTAAGAAGAATGGTTTCTCTCCTTGGGCCTCCATTTATGGTAAGCTGATAATTACTACATGAATAGTTAGAGATGGACTAGAGTACACATCCAGACCTGTGCCTGGTACTCAAAAGATGGGGTGCCTTACAATAACAGAATTTAAAACTGGCTCAATAAACAGAAACACTGATATTGCAATGCAGGGCATTTCTAATAAAACTTTGTAGCAGTCTTTAGGGCTTTAGGATAAGTATTTGGGAAAAGGATTGTACACTAACTTACTGTGTTTTACTGAATCTAGGATCCAATTATTTGATGTACCAAAAATAAATGGAAAAAAAAAAAACAATGCCAATTGTTATGTATGATACCATCAACTGGGATGAATCCCGATTTTAGAAATTCTAAAATGTAAAATGTATGCCTTAGAATTGATGATCACTTCAGAACTGAATCAGAACCAACCTCCCTTAAGTTCCTGCTCTGAAACTGTTAATAAGTGAAACTTTAAAATAGGAATCTTTGCTCAGTGAAAGGGATATTACAGTACCACACTCTCTGAACCCTAACGTAAAGTATGTTGTTAAGTGCCATCAAGTTGGATCTGGACTCATAGAAACCCTATAGGGTTTCCAAGGAGTAGTTGGTGACTTTGAACTGCTGACCTTGTGGTTAAACTGACATTGTGATTCAATGCTTATCCTGTAGTGCTACACCAGGACTCCAATGAAAAGTATGGACTTTAGTAAATCATATAACATATCAATACTGGTTCATCAATTTATTTAATGTAACAAGTATATCACAGGAATGTAAGAGGTTAATAGAGGTAATGTGGTTGTTGCTGTTGTTAGGTGCCATCGAGTCGGTACTGACCCATAGAGAATTTATGTACAGCAGAATGAAACACTGCCCAATCCTGGGCCAACCTCACCACTGTTGACATGTTTGAGTC